AATATTTTACATAATAATTTTCATATAATTATTACCTAAAATATTTTTTTATATACGTTATGTTATGCAATTATGTAAATAATGCAAAATGCAATAAATCGCAAAAATAAATAATTCAAATATATATTTTAAATATTAAAAAATAAAATAGATTACGAATTGTGTGCTTTTACCTCACGTTTGCGTGTCATCGTCCGATGCCTTCCCGGATCTTCCTTGCTCTGCTCCCTCATGGCACTCACTCGCGAAAACACGGTAATTACGCGCACTAATCAGTGAAATACGACGTTAATTATATAATAATCGTAGAGAATAGTTCCGCGTTCGATGACTTCTCGTATTTCTCGTTGCGATCGCGTTTAGGAAGAGCGACTGTACTTACACTCACCCGAGTCTCGGCGCGGGAATAAAAATACAAGTCAACCAAATGTAAACATCGCAAAAATCTAAAATTTACACGTCGCAAAAATCGAATCGAATCCTTAAAAAACATAGGAAATAAACGCGTTTCAGATTTGATCGTTTTTATCGCGCGAGAGATTATATTTGGAAAAGTAATACGACACCACACACACACACACATACATATACGCGGCGACTGTACCTGCTCACTCGAGTTTTGGGTTGCGCACATCACGCAAAAATCAAGTATCGAATCGTTAAAAATCGTAGGAATTAATCACGTCTCACACTTTCTCGTACTTATCCCGCGAGAGATTGTATTTAAGAAAGTAATATGATACCACGCACACGCTAATACACACTAATACCTGTACACTCGAATTTTAGCGCGCGAATGACGCAAGCCGACCGAACGTGAAGAGCGCGCTTACACATCGCAAAAGTTTTAAGAATCGTAGGAAATAATCGCGTTTCACATTTACTCGTACTTAGGAAGATACTGCGCACCCGCCACTACCATCTCCTCAAGTCCTGCGGCACGACTGACAACACGAGTCGAGTCGCGCGACGCGCGTAGTATTCTATTGTCGCCATATCTATTCAATCTATAGTCTATTATATTATATTGTTGACATGCGTAATGTATACGTGTGCGTAATGTTGACGTGTGGAATGTATACATTGTATACAACAGCGCGCTATCCCGCATACCAAGGGTTTGTTTTTGTTACGCGTAGCGCGCTATTGTTTACGTCGACTTGGCCTTCGCGCGCGGCGGAGGACTCGAGCGCTCTACGTGTCGTAATATCCTTCGAGACGCGGTCGCGGAAGGATGGCGGCGGGAGATCTCCCTATAATTACGTATTACGATTAGAACGTCACAGTTCGTAAAAATATTACCAAATAATTCGAAGCGTTCGATTGACCAATAGCAGCAAAGAAATTTTTCTCTTTTTCTATCTCGATTAACCAATCAAACGACGCGAAATTTGGTAATGTACTCGATATGAAGTACGCCACTTGCTATCGCCGCGACGCAACGTCACCGTCTTGTCCTTGTATAGTTCGCGCTCGCGACGATCGCGGTCGAGACGTGTCGCGTATCGCTCCGTAATTTTCTTTTTTGCTACGCAATAAAAGGGAATCCTGCACACACATTTACGTCGAAAGTATCGAATAAAGCACTTTGCGATCGTTTTATCGTATAATTTAGCGCGTATCGGTATCATTAATCGCGCTTTCGCGATCGCGTCCTTCGCGATTTACGCCGTAGATATTTTCCGTTTGACCATCATGGCCGTTCAAACGATCTTCGAGAAATTTTCGGCGTATTTTCTCGTCCGAAATAAGGGGTCGCGAAAGATGCAACAGGACTCTGATATATCTCATCGGTTTTTATCCGCTAAAATCGCGCGTATTTCGGGAGTGCCGAGTGAAATATCGAACGAATATCATCTCGCGAATTTTGTCCTTCGCGATCGACGCCGATCATCGTCGCGGATACGTGACTTGCCGTTAGAGCATCATGGCCGCTCAAACGATCTTCGAGAAACTTTCGGCGTATTTTCTCGTCCGAAATAAGGCGAAAAGTGTCGCGAAAGGCGCAACAGGACTCCGATATGTCTTATCGGTTTTTATCCGCCGAAATCGCGCGTATTTCGGGAGTGTCGAGTGAAATATCGGATAAATATCGTCTCGCGAGTGAATCTAATAGACTTGTGTGTGTGTCTCTACAAAAAGACGGGAAGTATCGGATTACAACGATATCTGCTCTGGAGCGCAAGATGGTGTGGACGACGAATTATCAGCCGGACGGGACATCATCTATTTGTGAGTACACTTTTTCACGAATATGAAGAGTCATGTATATCGGAAATATATTTACCGTTTCGACAAAAATAAAAATTTAATATTATTCGAAATACATTTACGATATTTTTAGTACAGCTGCTTAATCAATAAGAGAACGCAGTAAAAAAAAAAAAAATGACGCCGTATATATGTATTATACAATATATTTTTACCCAAGTTTCCCACTTGCGCAGCTAAATTTTGAGCAAAAGTATCGATTAGTGCTACTAATTTATTGGAAGATTAATATGGAAACGATAAATATATTTCGTGCTATGCATTTCTATTTTATTTGCGAGAGCGTTTCGACGTGCCGGATAACTACAAAAGGTTACGATTCCCGTGAGATTTTTGAGAGGATGCATTCGCGAGAAAAACGCGTTTTGCTCGTTACCGCGAACGAACTTGATGTTGCACTATACACGGTGTTAAAATTATCGTTATCGTTTTACGGAATTTATTTGGCGGTACGCGACCGCAACGAAAGAGAGAGAGAGAGGGAGATAGAGTGAAAGAGAGAGAGAGAGGGGGGAGAGAGAGAGAGAGAGCTTCGTGCTTCTCGCGGAAACACAAGGGGGTGAATAGGATGACGGGACGGGGAGAGGGGAGGGGGGGAGGAAGGGGAAACGTTGCATGCCTAATCAGACAACGACGGCAGACAGTGCTTTATGCGTTCGCTCCATCTGCAGATTTCCGTTTAATAACGTCATCTGTATGCAGGAGTACATTATCTTTAGCCGTCTCTTACCCGCTTTCGCCCTCCCTCCCTCCCTCCCTCCCTCTCGCGTGTGTATTGTCCCTCCCGCCTCTCTACCGTTGAAGAAGGATTCCCGTACATTTGCGCGGCTTCTTTCCTCGTGACGATTTAGCGGTGGTTGTTTAACGTGCTCGTTAAGCGCTACTTTCGACGATTCGTCTTCGAGTTCTCGTCGAGTTAGTTTCGTGATTCTCGCCGTAATGCGATTTTCAAAGGAATCGAGTGTGAGGGACGCGGAAATAAAATTCGTATTCTCACATGTATATTTCTGTGTTAAGTTAAACATAGTTTTTATTTATTTATTTATTTTTTTTTGTGTTATTTATACTGTGTAATATATTTTATATTATATATATCTCTCTGTAGATATTCTCTCTCTCTCTCTCTCTCTCTCTCTCTCTCATCTCCCGATAAAAATACACGGTGAAACGGGGCATTTATAATTCAATTTTATAATTAATAATGCAGTCCCGGAAATTTGTTCATATTTTTTCATTAATTTATTCATATTTTGCCGGTGAGCTTTTTAACTTTATCATAAATTTTGCTTTTCTCTATCGTATGTATATACAAATAATAATTCCAATAAAGATGATATAACTAATTTATTATTTAATTTAAAATGTGCGAAAGGAATTGTAAATTTATTAAATATGGAAAAGCTATTTTTAAAATTAACATTACAAGATTTACGTGTGAGAGAGATGCACGAGTAATTTTTTTTTTCTCTACGTGACGTTTTGTAATCTTCTCGTTGAACTTAACAGAAAAGATATCTAATAAATTAGTATTACGATATTTCCTTTTTTAGAAAGAATATCCGTTTTTCTTCGCGTCTGTGTGTTTAACTTTAAGAATAAGTACAGGGAACTGTTCCGTAAGAAGGTTCCTAGCTTGATATCGACTACGTTGACGATCGCGAGACTATGTCTACATAGACGAGCTAAATCTTGGTCTTAACCCTCGCCTGCCCTTGTCAAAATATGTATGTCGGGATAAATTCCGTGCCTGATCTTAATCCGACGTTTATCCGGCACCGGTAATTTACATGAATCGGCGATTGCCGTGTGCGACAATACTATGTCTGTCCTTAAAAGGGATCTTTAGCACACACGATATAATTAACATGTTAAAACTTTAATTAACGTATTATATTAAACAGCAATAAAATAACGAATTATATATTTGAATTATTAATGCGTGTACTTATTTGATCATTATTGATAATGTAGTAAACATGTTGATACACTTTGATTGATGCAATTTATAGTTGACACATCGCGATATATTTTCCAATCCTAGTCACATACAGTTTTTAAATTTTTAACGCTTTATATCTGTTAGTTTTAGACATTTAATACGCTACGTAACTATATTATTTTTCTCATTTCTCTTCATTGTGTACTTTTATCTTTGAAGAATAAACTTCGATGGCAAAATTATAGTGGTTCGCGAGTATCGTACGAAATGACGTTCGCGTTATACGCGCGTTTTATACCGGATATCGCGCACTTTCGTTAAGATGAACTAAAGATATCTTTTAATAGGCCCTTTTCATTTCGCGCACAATGGCCAAGCGTATCGCAATTTTATGTCAGATTTTACTTGCAGTCGCGAAAGAGAGTATATCAGTATATTGTCACAGATATTAAAGATATTAAACTAAGAAAAAGAACTATCGCTTGTTTCATTCGAAACATTAAATTAAAAATCGACGGATTTTTTTCGAATTAAATGTCAAAAATATACAAAATCTTAATTTTAAATTTATTTTGAATAGACTTTAATTTTAGAGAATGTTAATATTAATTGGAAGGAAATCAGTTACAAGTCCGTTATAGATACTTAAAATTAAACGTTACGAAGTAATGAGACATGGGCTTTAAGACGGTAATGAGACATCGTCTTTAAAACGGCAAAATGAATCGGCGCATAAAAGAAAGCGCCGAGAACTTGTACATTTCGCGTACATACGACTGCGATTTCCGCGTCTAACGTGTCACTAAACTTAACAGCAGTCATTCCTTGACGATTCTGCGCTTGACGAAATCTGCCTCGTGAAATTTACACCCCGTTAACCTTTTGTATGCGTTCCTCTTTTTCATGCGATCGCGCTCGAGACGCCCGTTCGTCGTCTTACCGGGGATTCGATACGCCGTTAACGTCGCTCAAGATCTCGCACGTGCACATGAACACGTGTGTGCATAAATTTGCTTTCCGAGAATCGTGATACTCTTTCTTTTTTTGCTTCGCTCTTTTTTTTCCGTTGAAACGCTCCAGTGGAGACAGTCGCGAGCTTTAATCTTGTTAGCCGATGTCATGCTTTAGTGAAGACATAACGCAGACGACTTAAACACACAGTGAATGTTACATATGATATGATTACGATAAATTAGTAAAAAATATATATTACAATGCGAATATTTTTTTTGGCAAAAGAGATTTTTTTTTTTAATTTTGACATGTCGAGTTTTGGAAGCTTTGGAATCTTTTTGCAACTTGATTTTCTGCAAGAATCATTTAAAATAGAGAAATCCGCTCTATCGAGAGTCGATCGCGATATTTTGGCAATGAGTAATGACAATTTGACAATTTGACAAGTGCAACGTGCGCTTTTAATTCGCGACATGCCCGGAGGTGCCAGAGATTCGTATTTCACGCGCGACTTAATCTATAAATTATTGAGGGAATCCGAGTCCATGGAACCCGAGGGCGGTTTCTCGTTATTCACCGATTGCTACACCGTTGCTAGTATGTATAAAAAAAAGGCTATACAGAGACGCAATTTTATGGCACACCTGCGATTTGTTTTCCTGTTTAATGCACATGCGCGTTACTTCTATCGGGAATAACACATCGGGAATTTTATCTTTCGACGATGG